CATTGTGAGGTTTAGTCCATTCTCCCACCTCCTTAATATAAATAATTTCATTAGTTAAAAATAAAAATAAAAAATAAATAAAGTTAAGGGGAAAGGGAGTGAATTAGGAAAAAAAAAAAAAAAAGTGACAACAAATTTCAAAATTTGCATTCTTACGAATACGGTATTATTATAGGTGAAGACGACCCAACTGGTGGAGATGAGCCAATGGTGGATTCCATTCTCGAATTAGTGTTTGTTCTATATGCATGGTCTAGTAGGTGACATCTCATTCGACGAGTGATGTGGCCTCGCTTGCCAATGATGGTTTTTGTGCTCTCGCTTGCCGACCATGACATTGCGTGTGACTTGGTATAGGTCTACTTCATGCCGCCTTTGTGGCAGATTTGTATTGAGGTGCTTGTGCTGGTACGAAGGTTCTTATGCATGTGGTAGCCATTAGGAGTTTACTACTAAGCTTATTTGTGCGGATTATCTTCATATCAATATATTGGCCATTAGAGCATGTATTCATACAGAAACCCTTATTATTGTATTCTTGTGTGTTAATGAAAATTACTATTTCTTTAAAAAAAATTGAAAAAACTTATAGGATTGACTTGCTTAAATCACACTCTATGCTTCAACATAAGATTTCCAAATCATTCCGCAGAGTATTCTCATTCTCTTACTGAAGGTTAGAGATTTCTTATCATACCCTCATAATATGCCTTTGTGAGTCAAAATCTCCATCATTAGAACACACCCATATCAGTTAGCCAATGGAATACGCACAAGACAATTGTTGTGTCTCAGGTCGAATGATTGCTTGCATTAGTGCAACTTTTATAGTTTCTTGCAACAAACTCATTCTCTATTGAGCACCTGGACACTTGTCTTTTTGTCTCCACACTAACGGCTTGAATTAACCATCCTCCCAATTGATCGAACATAGTGTGTACTAGACTTGTCAAAATATCAGTATTCACCTAATAATCCTACAATTAGGAACAATTTAGGATATGATAGTTGGATAGAAGAACATCTTTAGATTACTTTTTCAACTATATATTATCCATATACTCATAGACTTATAAATGAAACATTTTTTGCGTTGGTATTTAATCATTTGTTTCAACGATAGATGACACACCCCAACCTGGAATGTCCACCTAGACTCCGAATCGAGTTGTGCTGGCCGACACCAAGAAAGTGACGAAGTCATAAAGTGTAGTGTGATGTGGAAATGTGAGTAAATTTAAACCTAAAAGTGCATAAATATAAAAGTGCGTTTATGAGCGGGAATGAACCCATTTCACACATGATGTCAGAGCATAAGCAAAGTACAATAAAAGTAAAAGAGGAATTATACCATCGAGAGTATTCCTATAACCACGGTTTGCCAGAAATCCTCGTCAACACGAAAGCTTTGCCACTAAAACTTGGACTGGCGAAAAACAAGGGTGAGTGGGCCTAAGAATAAAGCTTTGTAAAACCTTTTCAAAACGTAATAACTCATCGCCGTAAAACAAGTACAGTTTCCAAATATGACATATTACATGTAGTATGAAAATACTTAGCGTAAATAGTAATATCTTGAAATGCAATAGTTCACAATATTTGCATATAAAACATATAACTTCCAGAAATCACCATATCTCGAATAAACGAACATATACTATCAGGTGATCATCGACATATGCTGACACATGAGTTCATGTAGAGGTATTCTAACATGAATAGGACTAGGTGTAATAATGATTTATGCTTTAGTACTACAATCACGTGAAGACTAGCGCTATGTGCATCACATACGAGTCCTAATTGCCTATAACAATCTAGGACAGGACTGGCACATACAATGGATCCAAAGTGAGCATACGGTGCGATGTGAACATACAAGTGAAGCCTGGCCCTGGCCTAGGCGAGTACAAACACTAATATAGCACACAATGAGCAAGTAACGTAATTATAATCATGTAACAGTAAATCAATAATTCAATAATTCTAATCAACAATATACTATTCATAGCCATAAATCTAAGTTAGGAATCCCTTTATAGTAAGCCTTACATGTGCATCCCGTAGGATTATTTCATAATTTTCCAACAATACGAAATTTCTTATAAACGTTAATTTAATTATGGCAATCACATAGATAATTCATTAATAAATATATATGTGGAAACTAGCAAATATATATACTATATAAAAGAAAAGACCCATTCACAGACACTTGCAAATGTCATAGCCGTTCGAATTAGGAAAGTTGGAGTCTCCGAAAGTAATTGCACCTAATTATAATATCGGGACTCATTAGTAAAACTCCACTAAAATGATTAAATTTGAGAAAAAGGAGTGCGAATTTAGAATCAGGGTGTCAAAATACGTTAGGGAGGGTCCCAGGTAATTTTCGTAAAAAGTTAACAAAAAGTAAACGATCAACCCTAAAAAGTCAACCAACCCGCCCTAGCGGTCAACTACATTAAAACTTTGGAATTTCACTAAATGGATGCCAAAAATGGACTCGGGGCGTCGAAATTAGCCTAAGAAGGTTTCCAAGAAAATTTCAAAAAAAACGTCAACAAAAGTCAACTAATGGTCAACAGTTAACTTTAACGGAATATTCCTTACTAAATCTTAAATGAATCCAGGTCAGATCCGGGTTAGGGTTAACGGGTTATGGATTTGGACTGGTTCATAGATCAGGTTTTGGGCTTTTTTTTTATTCGGGTCGAGTTGACCTAGTTGGGCTCGTGGGTCGCACCCGCCGGACCCAATGAAGAAAAAGGCTAGATTTTTTATCAAAAAATTTCTCCAACTCCGTTTACCTTCAAATCTTGACCATTTCTCATAGTTTACCTACCAAAATGAAGCTTAAGAGGAAATGAATGGAATTATACCATACTAGGCCCCACCATGGCCGAAAAATGGCTGGAAAAGCCTACAACACTCTTGGCTCCGTCAGAAAATTTGGGAAGTTCTTCCTCGATGTGGTTCTGCTTTCAAACATCACTCATCACACTTAAATTTGATACCAAACGATGTAAAAGGAAGAGATAGGGGTTTCCCGAGGCTTACCCCAAGTCGGAAAGCAGAGATCTCGCCAGAGAACATGGTGTTGACGACCTGGGTTCGCGTTTGCAACTCGAGGTTTAGGTATTCGGTTTCATAGCCAAGAGACGAGGTAAGGCTTCGAGTTTGTGGTGGTGATGCTCGCTAAAGAGGATTGTGGGTGGTGGTGAGGTTCGCCGAAACACCGACGGCATGTGATGGTGTTGGTGCACACGGAGGAGAGATGGGGGACGAGAGAGAGGAAGAGTGAGTATGAGAGAAGAAGTGCCGAAAGAGATGAGTGTGGAAGAAAAGACACTTGGCAAGAGAGGAGTGGAGAGTTTGGTGTTGGTATGGGCCCCACGAGCCATAAAATCATTAAAATAAGTAAAATATCCCACCATAAAATATTAAAATATTCAAGGGCCAAAATTCAAAAATACAAAATTACTAAAGTACCCTCATGTTTGTATTTTCGTAATATCTTCATCGTAACTCCGAATTCGATTCCGCTTCTGCCTACGCGTTCGTATCATCGAGTACTTCGAGAATACGGTAAAATAATAGCTCATATGTGTTAGAAAATGATAGTTAAATAAAGTCAATAATCTCACCAAGAAGGGTTTTTTTCGTCAGTTCACTCTTTTAAAATTAATAAAATCGTAAAATGAGAGACGGGTTGCTACAATAGATGCCACACCTAAATCCATTGGTTGAGTTGCAAAACAAATACATCCAAGTATATATATCCTTACTCACCATATGTATTAGAGTCAATTAAAATTTAGGGTTAATCTCAGTTTACTACCCTAAAGTTTAGGGGTTATCAACATTTGGTACATGAAATTTTTTTCATCCTAGAGTCATACCTCAAGTCTTAATCTTGTGAAAGTTTTATACATCCGTTAAGTTTTCCGTTAGAACTTCTGTTAACTAATGACGTGGCACCCACATGGACAATAACTGAGCGCCATGTGTAAATATGGGCCCACTTTAATATTAAAAAATAAAAAATGAAAAAATAAAATAAAAACCCACTTGTCTTTTACGCCCCCAACCCCCTCCCTTTCTTCTTCCCTTTGCAACCTGCACCCTTTCTTCTCTCATCTGCAACCACTACCCTCTTCACCTCCCTTCCTTTCTCCCTCCTCCATCCTCTTCACCTCCACCCATTGCAAAAAACCTAATCCCCAAAAGCGTCTAGGGGCGAAAGTCAGACAACCCCACCCCACCCATACCCCAGCACCTCTCAATTTTCCATCAATTTGACCCATTTGGGATTGGTAGCCAAATTGGACTAGGAGTTGGAATTAGAGGTTTCAAAGGAAATGGAGAAGACCCAGATGGCAATCTAATTCACCATTGGAGATCGAACCGGATCTGGGTATTTGCACGGCGCAGAGCTCAGATCCGTTCACAATCGAATTATTGCAGAAGAAGGCTTGAGGTTTGGGCTTGCAGGCAGTAGCGTTGGCCAATGTTGACACTTTCTAGCAAAGGCTAGTGACCTCGACGAGGATCAAAAGGGAAAGAATGGTGGTTGCGTTGTGCGGGGTGACACAACGGCATGTGAGGGACGGGTGTTGCAGAGGGAGAACCTGGTGTTGGGGTTGGAGAGAATGGTGTAAGTGGAGAAGACGATGGCAGGGGTGCTGTGGGCGAGGAGAATGGGGGTATGGAATTAGAGAAGAGAGAAGGGATAAGGGATGGTAGGGGTCCGTGGGGGGGGGTAAAGGACGAGTGAGTTTTTCTTCTTTTTTTTTGTGTTTTTTTTTTTTAATTTTTTAATATTTAAGTGGGCCCATATTGACACATGGCGCTCATTTATTATCCACATGGATGCCACGTCATTAGTTAACAGAAGTTCTAACGGAAAACTTAACGGATGTATGAAACTGTCCCAAAATTAAGACTTGAGGTATGACTATGGGATGAAAAAAACTTCATGTACCAAATGTTGAAAACCACAAAACTTTAGGGTAGTAAACTGAAATTAATCCTAAAATTTAAGAAGAAAAAAAATACAAACAAAGAAACTTGAAAAGATTGTGCAAGCATTGTCTAGTGTCTTGTCAATCAGCAAGTCAACAAGAAGTCTACTAATGGACAAGAATAGATTATACATTAGTTAAACACGTACAAATTGATTCCTAACCATTAGTTAGCGATGAAATACATTTGACGTACAATTTTCACAAACCAACACACATTGAGTTTTCTTGAGCCACCTCCTCTCCCATTCCCTCCCCTTTTCTTGTCTTTTTTATAGATACTGTACATGATGAACATCCATGAGCACCCAAATTAGTTTCTCTCCCGAAATTATTCTTCCTTAATCTCGTCGGATAATTTAAATTACGCATGGTGATGGCCACTTTCCTCAGTTAATATGTTATCTGCATGCTTGTGTACCACCGCAAATTGATCAAACAAATACATCCTCACGCCGCTTCTTCGGGTTGGCTTCTGGGTTTCCTTTTCTCATCATTGCTACAAATTCATCATAATTAATTCGACCGTCCTGCAGGACATTATCCAGGAAAAAAAAATGTTAATTAGCATCACAGTTAATTTCATATTACTATCTGTATTCAATTAATCAAAACTGATCATGCATGAATTGATTTGGAACCTACATTGTCAGCGTCAATTTCAGCAATGATTTCCCTGATATCCCTTCCATCATGCATGCCGTATTCGCGGAGGACTTGCTCTAGTTCTTCCGTCGTGATAAACCTGATAATCAGAATGCATTTTGGCAACATTGTTATAAATAAGATGTTGACGATGATGAGTTATAACCTTACTCACGGCTTATGTAACTGAAATTTAAGAGCATTATGTAAAACGAACACAAAAACCCATCTATTTGATCCTTGCATACCCGCTGCTGTCTTTATCAAAGTGTTGGAAGGCAGTGTAGAGATGTTCTTCTTTATCCATCCGGTTCAAGTGCATCGTTGCTGTGATGAACTCATCATAGTCTATGGTTCCGTTGCCATCAGCATCAGCCTAATGAAAAGACATTAATTAGAACCAAATGTGCTAGGAATTAATGTAGTTTATAAACCAAATTTACATGCATGTGTATGGCCACTGAACATGCACAGGTAAAGCATAAGTTAAAGCATTTTCGGCTGAGAAAAAAAGAGATTTAAGAGTATGGCAAAAGGAGCAAGCACTCACTGCTTCCATTAATTGTTGAGCTTCAACTTCAGACAGCTTTGTCCCTTGCTTAGCAAGTCCTTGCCTTAGCTCTTCAAGTGTTATTGTTCCACTGTTGTCTGTATCAATGCCCTTGAACATCTCTTTTAGCCCCATGATTTCTTCCTCTGATAAGCATCCCGCAATTACCTATATATAGTATTCATATGCATGTTCATTTCAACAAATTAAGTAACATGCTGAATAGACTTCTTCAATTCATCAGAGCTTAAAACATCAAACGCAGATATGTAGATGTATATGTTATATTTATGGTGAGTGACCAATAGAGAAATAAGGACGAAAGACATACCCGAAGCGCAACTTTCTTGAACTGGTTCATTGCTTTAAATTGTTTGAGCCGGCTGAGCACAGCATTGTCCAGAGGAACGTCAGGTGCTTCATCGTCCTTAATCCATGGATGATCTGTTGAAAACCATATACATTATATATGTAAATGCATGTTAGAAATCATGTTTGTGATGTATATTAATTAAAACTTGTATTATGTAAATGTATGATTTTATCATTAATGAACTTACTAAGAACTTGGAAGGCTGTCAATCTCTGTTTGGGGTCTGAATTCAACATCCTCCTCACAAGATCTTTCGCTTGAGTTGATATTGAAGGCCATGGGTCGCTTGAAAAGTCTAGGTGGCCTCGTAAGATTGCATTGAAGATTCCATGTTCCGATTCTATCAATCAATCAATTATTAATCTATAACTTATAATGAATTCTATCTTGCATACATAGTTAGTTTCCATCTCCCGATTAATTGATGGACTGATTGATTAAATTATGTTACCTGCCCAGAAGGGAGGAACTCCACTGAGAAGAATATACAACATGACTCCAACACTCCAAATATCGACTTCTGGCCCATATCTCCTCTTCAACACTTCTGGTGCAATGTAATATGCACTGCCCACAATATCCTTGAATACTTCTCCTGCACTTATCATCACATAGGGCATTAATTTTTATATTCGTCGATTGGAATCCGATGAACGAAGTACAAAATTTAAAACATTCCTTTTCCATATATCTCATAGTTAATCAAAATGATTTAGCGCTCGGTTCAAAAAGCCATTATTTGGCTGATTGAAAAGAACTAACTAGAATTCCGAGCTACCATTAACATTGGAGATGAAATTAGGTTAAATTTACAAACATGATTACTGAGGCTAAAACCAAAGCTTGAAAATATGTATGTGGTTTAATTGTTACATAAATGAAATGAAACGAAGAGACAAGATTATCCTTAATTACATACCTTGTTTGTAAAAGACGGATAGACCAAAATCTGTAGCCTTGAGCGGAGAGTTTTCATCTTTATTGAGCAAAAGGAAATTCTCAGGCTTTAGATCTCTGTGAATAACGCCCATGGTATGACACGTGTGCACGATCTGAACTATAGTCCTCAACAAGGCAGCGGCAGCGCGCTCCGTGTAATGTCCTTTTGAGATGATCCTGTCGAAAAGCTCACCTCCGGCGCACAACTCCATGACCAAATGAACGGACTGCTTGTCCTCATAAGCTCCCTTGAGTTCCACAATGTTTTGCTGCCCCGTCAAATGATGCATGATTTGTACCTCCCTCCTCACATCCTCAATATCCTCCTTGTTCACCAGCTTCCGCTTGGCAATTGTCTTGCAGGCGAACTGCTCTCCCGTGGCCTTGTGCGTGCACAAGTGGGTAACACCGAACTGGCCCCGCCCCAGCTCCTTGCCGATGCTGTACGTGGTACGGACGTCCTCCATGGGGCGGCCTAGGACGGGTCCAATAGGGCCCGGCTTGGCGACCTTTCCAGGGTGAGTTGGGGAGGCGGAAGGTTTATTGGGGTGAGTAGCGTGGCTGGAGGGGTTGGGGGCGGAATTGGCAGCGCTAGGGTTATTGTCCGTGGCATTGTTGTTGTCTCCCTTATTGTTGTCATTGGGGGCATCCTCGGTGTTGCGTTGAGAGCAACAGTTGCCCATGGCGGAAGAAAGAGAGAGAGAGGGGTAGGGATGTTGGGCGTGGCCAAGAGAAGCAATGTTGGATTAATTTTTGGGGCTGAAGAAAGGGTAGGGGTGGAGAAAGACAATTAGGAAAAGAAAGAGAAAGAGAGAGAAAGGTGGCAAAGGAAACAAGGGTTACAGGTTGGACTGACGAGGGTAATGCAGAGTACTGATGACGAGGGATTGTAGGAGTTTGGTAGTTTGGTAAGTTTGGAAGCTTGGAAAGGGGTTTGAAACGGTCTTAGGTGCGTCTCCTATGTGGGAGCCTCTCATTTTTGTATATTTGCCATATTTTCCCGGGAAACGGTAACAATCTGTTAGGCTTCCCTCTCTACGTGAACACAACTCTTCATCACAACCTACATTTTGTATACATATATTTCCGCATTCATAATGCAACATTGTTAATTAATAGTTAAATTATTGTTACAACTGTTCTAGAAATTTAATATTATTTTATATTATCAACTTTTAGGTAATTCTTAGTTTACTACTATGAAATTTCTTGATTTTCAACATTTCATACATCAAGTTTTTTCATCTTAATATGATACCTAAATGTGATAGACACTTTCATACATCTGTAAGCTTTCTGTTAAAACAGTCATTAACTTGTGACGTGGCACCGATGTGGTTAATGATGGGGCGCCACGTGTCAATTTGGAGCCCACATGGATATTAAAAATTAAAAAACAATAATTTAGATTTTTGAAATTTGAAATTTAAAATTTAAAAAAACCTAAATTCATGAAAATGGAGTCCTACCATCAACCCTATATCAGTGTCTGAAGTTCTACAGAGGTGGACTAAAAACAATACATGGTGATACTAAGTCGTTCACCGAAGGGGAGTCGCATTTCGCTGACACCAAATTTTACATGGATGAAGATATGGTGTCGGAGGCTCTCCCTGCGAAAATTCAATCAATAGGCAAAGCTAGGCCTGGGAAGGAAAAGCAACAAGTAGTGTCTCATATGAAGAAAAGAAGTGACAAGCAGTCAAAGTGCTCAACGTTTGAGGAGAGTGAAGCATTCTCAAAAGGATCGAACACACCAGTCCTTCAATACATCCCGGTGTCACGAAGAAAGAATTAGGAATCCCCATTTGAGGAAGAGACAAACAATGAGCATTCGAGAAAGCTGTAGAAAGAAAATGTAAAGCTCCTAAAAGCAGCCATGGTTGTGCATCTACCTAACCTAGAAAATTCAAGCGTTTAGAAGCCATTGTTATAGAGTTTTGTCAGACCGATTCAAAGTGTGACAAAGCATGACTTTCTTCCCACCAAGAGAACCAAGGTAAGGAACTCTTTACAAGGACCTCATACCCCCAAACACATGATCCCAAAGTTCCATCGAAACCCTACCACAACCCCACCGCTTGTACGCACGATGTCTCTCCAGCTCGCCGTCGCATGCCTTCGCACATCGAAGAAAGGGGCGTCGTCACTTGGAAAGCAATCCCTCAAACCATCAGAGGCAATGGGGTGGGAGAATCAGAAGATAGAAATTGTTGAAACACCAGAATATTGTAAGAATTAATCCTACTTTTTGAATATGCTTAGGGTTTTAGGTTTTGTGATTTTTCAATTCTGATTTTTTAGGGCTTTGTGACTTCTCCCTTTCGATTAGTTTTTCGTATGTTTCTAGAATTTTGTTTTGTAGTGGGTGTCTCCATGGTTTAGTGTTTTCAATGTGCATGTCTGGTTTTATGTCTCTATTTGATGGTCCCAATTGCATTGCTACAAAAATAAATAAATAAATAAATAAAAACCTTTAGTGATGGTCCCCATGGTTTGGTTGTCTATTTTTTGTCTTCATCAGGCTTACAAAACCCTTCTTGTCTTACATGTTTCTATTTTATGGCTTTTAAAACCCTTGGTATTGACTTTGTAGACATGCTAGATTTGTTTACCCTCAAGATTAACCATGGTGGGAAATGGTCCAAAAATGCATATGCAGGAAGACTTGAGGATTGGTTTGACTATTGATAGGAGCATATTTATGCAAGTTTGTTATCTTATTTCTTTGCATTTATTTAGTTAATTTCTATTTATTATAGTAATTTAAGTTATTTTCATATTATTGTAGATCCAATTGGTAAAGATGACAATAAATGGCAAAATGGAGCAATTTGGAGCAGTTTTGGGCTTGGATTGGATAGCATATGGGCTAAACGTTTTTGGTGTTTAAATGGTGCTAGACATGTGCTAAAATCTAGAGAAATTAAAGTTGAGGCTTATATGGCAAGGAATTACACAAGAAAGAGGAATCCTAATTGGAGAGGAACATTATCTTATCCTATCATATCTTATCTTATCTTATCCAACCTTATCTTATCTTATCTCCAGCTACAAAGAGGAATCCTTATCACATTCCAACAATTCCTATCTGATTTTTAGGAGTCCTAAAATAATTCAAACAACCAAACCTTTTCCTCCGTGGATTCAGCCATTCCCCTTATATATATGAAATTCTTGCAAGGATTTAGAGAAGTGTGTCATGCCTACCATTCATCCATTGAAGTTGCTGGAGTTTTTAGAGTTCTTTCTATCTTTGTTTTAATTTTCAATGTTTCTTTTAGATTGCTTTTCAGTTGTGATGAACATGTGTAACTAAGTTTCTTTTTAGCTACAGGTGAATTCAAAGCCATGATCATACGTTTTATATAAATTGATTACATCTAGTTATTGTTTCATAAAACATGAATGCGATTTACTTATTTGCTTTATAAAGAACTTATTCTTGTATGTTTATTAAGGGTGCACACTTAGTTTGCATGCAGGGATTTGATGCTAGAATATAAGAGAATTTCACCTAATTATTTTGAACTTATATTTGTAAGTAGTAAAAGTCACTAGTCATGATTGAGTTAAGTAAATTCTTGGCAGGAGTATCATGCTTTTCATAGTTACGAATGCTTTGTCAATACTTTTGATTTTCACAAAACTTAATGATCTTTGAGATGTACCTCTATCATGCTTTTCATAGTTAGGGAACTCGAGAAGAATAATTTGGTTGCGTCGCTAAGTCCAATTCAATGAACTTAGGGAAATCTGAGACTTAATTGGTGATGTTCACAGTTAATTTGGGGCATTGTCAATTATGGTTTATAGGAAGAATAACTGGAAACCGATTTCTATGCATATGTTTCATGTGTGGAGAAGAATCATTTAGCTATCCTTTCATCCATATTTCATTCACAACTTAATTTACTTGCTGCCCTTTACTTTTGTTTTAATTAAATTCGTCCAAAATCTCCCCCCTCATTGTTTTCATGTTAGTTTAACTTAGTTTTCAGTTTTATAAGTTTAGTTTAGCATCCCTTCCAATCCGCGGAATAGAACGATCCCTACTTACTCATACTACGATTGCATAATTTATAGGGTTTAATTTGTGTGTTAGTTTCTACCACATCAACTATGTAGACAAAGACTTTACGTCTTTCTTTTTAGATTGATTCGGTGGTTAAGGAGTTAGGGTACGGAAGGTTCATTTTTGTATCATTATAGGATTCTTGGGATGTCTCATAGGGATGGATTAAGGCTAATTGAATGTGACCAAGATGTGGATAACATGTGCAAGTATGTTCCAGGATCTAGGGAAATAGAATTGTACCTAGAAATCTAAACCCAAAGCAAACTGCCCTGAAACATAAGTTTTTGATGAATCTAGATGAGAGTGGCATAGTAAAAAAGGGGTAACTATAGAAGATATTGAGGATTGGAGGGTTGCACTATATATTACAAAGGGTAGTTGATCAAAATTGAAGAAACTAAAGAAAAAGTAGGTGCTGATCCCTTAGAAAATGACTATGCATTTTGAATGAAATAGCCTACTATACTGATTTAGAATATAATAGATACGAGAGTGATGGTAGTGTAGGTGTTGGAAGGAATGACAATAAGGGAGGACAAGGAGTAGAAAATGAAGGTGGAGAAATTGGTATTGATGAAGGTATTGATGAAGTGGCTAATGAAGGTAATATTTTAGCTGATGAATGGGTTGAAAATGTGTTATTGTTGAAAGTAATCTTGAAAACATTTAATTTTGCAATTTTATTGAAAGTATTCAATTGTTTTGTACTGAAAACACTTTTTTGAATAATTTGCATTGTAAATGGTAGGTAATGCAGAGGATGACACTACTAATAGTGAATTTGTGGACAGTGACTACATTTGGATGATGAGGATGGTGGTGCAACAGATGAAACTGTTCTTGATGATCTTATTAGAGAAGTTGAAAAGGGTGAATGGTTTGGTAATGATGGGAACTCAAACAACCAACATCTTGAAGATTTTTTAATGCAAGAGATGTAAAAGATGTTCCCCTTAATGATGGAAAAGATGACTCAGATGGTCTGCACTGTGTAGATGAATCAAATTCTAATGTTGATAAGAAGATCATCTACCATAAGTTCAATAAAGAAGTTGACAGGGATATGGGTGGGCACTTGAAACTGAAAATCAAAACCGAAACATGAACCAAATCGAACTTCACTGAACAGTTCAATTTTGCAGTTTTGAAACCAAACCGCAGTGTAGGACAACTGTTTGGTTTCTATTTTTTGCTTTTGAAAACCACACCGAAACCAAAAACACACCTCAAATTAGATATCATGTTTTAATTAGTTGTTTGTTAGAGTCCATAAATTTAATATGGACTCAACCACACTAGAATGTCATCTCTTTCCACTCGTGTTCGACAAAATCAAATTATCGCTCATCAATCTCTTTTTTTTTCTCTCTCTCTCTCTCTCTCTCAATACTTATTTGATGACTCATCTCATCTCTTCGACAAGTTCAACAATACTAGCCAACTTTTTAGAGGCTTAATTTGTTAATTTATTTTCTTCTACAACATCTAAGCATGATGACAATAGTAGTTTCACATTGTTCCTCTTCTAAAAAAATCACAGCTTAATATAACCTTAGCTTTTGATTCATTTTGATTCAGTATAATATGTTACTATAACTTTATCTTTTGATTCATTTTATTTCATTTTTGCAAAAGTAGAAGGGTGAAGATGAAC